CATGCAGTTGTAAGAAATGATTAGAGGGGCGCCTGGGTGGTTCAATTGATTGGGTGCCTGGCTCTTGGTTTCAGCTTAGGTCATGATCTCAGGGTCCTGCCATCAAGCCCTGTGTCAAGCTCCCCACTCAGCAGGGATTCTGCTTCAGGGTTCTCTTTCTCCCTCTGCCCCTAATAAATCTTAAAAAAAAAAAAAAAGAAAGAAATGATCAGAGACATCCCTTTACACTCTCCTCAGTTTCCTCCAGTAGTAACATTTTGCAAAATTACGGTATGTCACAACCAGGATTTTGACATTGATACAATCTAATGATCTTATTCAGATTTCCCTATTTTACTTGTATTCTTTTTATGTGTGTGTCTATATTTGTGTTAAGTTATACACAATGTAATCACCTGTGTAGTCTCGTGTACCCATCACAAAGTCAAGATACTGAACAGTTCCAACAACACAGTGATTCCTCATGTTGCCCTTATATAACCATTTCTCCCCACCATCCCTAACACCTGGCAACCACTACTCTGTCCTCCATTTCTAAATTTTTTTCATTTCAAAAATGTTGTATCAGTAGAATGATACAATGTATAACCTTTTGAGATTGGCTTTCTTTTCCCACTGAGCGTAATTTCCTGGAGATTCAGCAAAGTCATGGCATATATCAATAGTTCATTTATTTTTATATGTTGAGTTATATCCCATGGTATATATTTATACTGAAATATGTATTAATATATTATATATTAAGATTTTTTTAAATTTTATTCTTATGTTGGTCCCCATACATTACATCATTAGTTTTAGATGAATATATTAAGATTTTATTTATTTATTTGACAGAGAGCATGAGCCGGGGTGGGGTGGGGGGGCCGAGGGGCAGAGGGAGAGGGAGAAGCAGACTTCCCCAGACAACACAGGGCTTAAACCCAGGACCCTGGGATCATGACCTGAGCTGAAGGCAGGCACTTAACCAACTGAGCCACCCAGGTGCCCCTATATTGAAATATATATATATATATATTTTTTGAAATATATTTTTAAAGGTCATTTTTACATACAAAAATTATTATCATCATTCTGCTGCTTGCAAAGGGCACCAATCATTTGTTTTGCCATTTTTGGGTGGCATGTTCTATAAAGATCAATTAGGTCATGTTGGTTGATAATTTTGTTTAGATCATCCAAATCTTTCCTGATTTTTTGTATACTGGTTCTGTCCAATTACAGAGAGAGGGATGTTAAAAATCTCCTATTATAATTTTGGAGCTATTTATTTATTCCTTTAGTTCTGTTAATCTTTGCTTCATATAATTTGAAGCTGTGTTATTAGGAGCATACTCATTTGGGATTGTTAGCACTTAATGATTGATTGACCCTTTTATCATTATATAATGCTCCTCTTTATCTCTGGTAATATTTCTTGTCTTAAAGTTTACTTTGTCTGATATGAAAACAGCCATTCCAGATTTCTTATGATTATGCTTACATGGTATATCTTTTCCATCCCTTTACTTTTAACTTGTCTGTGTCTTTATGTTTTAAGTGAATTTTTTGCAGGCAGCATGTAGTTGGATCTTAACTTTTTAAATGCCTTCTGACAATCTCTGCCTTCAGTTGAAGTGTTTAACCCATTTATACTTAATGTAATTATTAATACAGTTGTTTAAATCTATTATTTTTTTTTCTATCTGTACTTGTGTCCTTTATTCTTGACTTCCTTGGATCAAGAATATTTTAATATTTTATCTCATCTATTGGGTTTTTAGATGTACCTTTTTTTGGTGGTTGCTCTAAGGATTAGAATATGAAACCTTAACTTATCCCAGTTTGCTCTGAATTAATATTAGTATACCTCTTCATGTATAACATAACCACCCTACAACAGTATAATTCCATTCATATCCTCTTCTACTTTGCTATAAAGCTAACAACACATTGTTATTATTTTTAGTTTAGTCATTTGTCTTTATTTTTTAAGATTTTATTTTTAAGCAATCTCTACACCCAATGTAGAGCTCAAACCAACAACCTTGAGATCAAGAGTCACATGCTCTACTGACTGAGCCAGCTAGGTGCCCCTAGTCATTTGTCTTTAAGGAAATTAAGAAGAGAGAATAGTCTTCAATGTATAGTTGCCTTTCCCAGGGCTTCTTATTCCTTCTTGTAGACCCAGGCTCTTATCTTATTTCATTTCCCCTCAGAATGAAGAACTTCTTTAGCTTTTCTTATAGTCTGGGTCTCCTGGCTGTGAATTTGTGCACCTGTCATTTAATAAGCCTTGAGAATTTGATCCAATCTCAGCCACCATTTCTTTTGCATTATAGGATTCAGACAACACTAGCAATTCCCTGGGAATGGATTCACCCAGTCCCCAAACCCCAGCAGCCACATCTTGTCATTCTGAAGGGGAACTGGGTCTGACGGTCATCAAAGAGGTCCCTAAGAATGAGGCACTTGTAACTGCTTTCCACAATGGCCCAAGAGCCAGTTTTCCTTCCAGTCATGCTCCCATGCCAAACTAAGGGTCCACCTAAACCTCCTACTTGGGGCAAGAGTGGCTAGGCTATTGAATGGACTGAGTGTTGCCTCTTGAAGGCCTGAGATAGTCACCCTTCAGGCCTCTGGTGGTTTGAGAGGACCTGTCCTTCCTATCCATCTTCCCTGTGCTGGTAACAGACTGGCCACTGGCAGGAACCCTTCTCCAAACCTCTCTCAGCCTCCCTGATGTTTTGCTCAGGGACATTATCAGCTTTTTCAGAGAGAACTTGGTTACTGTGCTTCCATGAGCCTTTAATGCCAAGGACATTTCCTTAAGATCAAGGGCCATGCCCACTTTAGTGTCTACTGCCAGGGCCTTAACTGCAGATTCTTTTGATTTGTCTGTGTTTGTTTTTTTTTTCTTCATAAACCTTCATGCTGCCTCTTCGTCTTCTTCCTTCTCCTGAGTTCCCTTCCCCAACCCTGCAGGAGCCTCCACACAGAACAACTTTGCTATTTGCTGCAAGCAAATCTGAGGTGACAGTCTCTCTTCTATCATGTGGTACAGTGTGGTCAGCCAACTGTCTCCTTCTAACTGGTTGCCCATGGGCACGTCCACTAACCTCTAACCCTTTGCAGACTCAATCTCTCCATCTGTAAGCAGGACTGTTGTAAAGATGAAATAAGATCAATCATGTAAAGGCTTTAACACTGTCTAGCACCTGGTGAACCATTGTGTTAGGTGTTGTATTTACAGTCCTACCTGTGTTATGCATCCTGGTTATAGCCCTGCTCTCAAACATCTTCCCTGACTCTCTTTCCAGCCTCAACTCATTCGCCAGAGGGTTGCTGGATATTCAGGGATGTGAACTCATGTTTGCAGAGTACCACTGGTTCTCACCCTTCGCGACGCGGGAAGGGATGTCAGGCTTCAGACCCTAGCAAGTAGATCCCAGGGACTTGCCACAGCTCTCAGTTTAGAGGACCACATGGCTCACAGCTGGTTTCATGGGCTTCCCCATCTCTGTCTACCTGTGGCCTGATGTAGCCCAGTTCTGGGGCTTCTGGGGGAGAAGACAAGAAAGGGCTGGGAATCATGGAGATAATGTAGATGAGGCCTGGGTAGGGGAGAGGACCTGAAGCTACAACTACAGTGCTCTCAATTCAGGGAAAGACTACTAGGTGCTCCTATAGGATCCAATGGGAGCCCAGAGCCGGACACCTGGTCAGCTGGGAGTCTCCCCAATATTGATGATGCTTGGCTAGAATACTGATGGACAAATGGGAACAGTGAGACAGACAGTGAAGGAAAGGCATTCCAAGCACAGGAAAGAGCATTTAAGGAGACTTGAAATAGCCTGATACACTCTAGGAACTGCAAGTAATTCCAGTCTGTTGGTCACTATGATCTACAGGGCCAAGACCAAACTTCTCCCTTGACATTCAAAGCCCTTTGTAGTCTTGCCTGAAACTACTTCCCACCACTCCTGCCCACCCTACTCCTGTCCTTTTGTTACTGCCACTCTAACAGGTTCCTGTTCTCCCAGCAGGCCATTAACGTTCTGGCCTCCAGGACTTTGCCCAGGCTACTCCCTTTGCAGGGAAAATTCTAACCCTCTTCTTTGCAGAGCTAACTCCCTCTCATCTTCGGGGACATCTCTTCAGAAGCCCCTTCAGGGCACAAGTTGGATGCTGTACCACCGCTGTCTAGAACCCAGCTTCTCATTTTTGTTGAATAGTTAATCACATCAAGGAAATCTTCCCTGAGTACCCCAAATACGCGCCGGCCTCCATGCTGCCATCAGGGCTCCCCGAAACCTGTCCACGCCTTGCCAGGGCTTCTTGAGGCAGGTTATCATTTCTTTCTTTTTTTTTTTTTTAAGATTTTATTTATTTATTTGAGAGAGAGAGAATGAGAGAGAGCACATGAGAGGGGGGAGGGTCGGAGGGAGAAGCAGACTCCCTGCAGAGCAGGGAGCCCGATGCGGGACTCGATCCCGGGACTCCAGGATCATGACCTGAGCCGAAGGCAGTCGCTTAACCAACTGAGCCACCCAGGCGCCCCAGGTTATCATTTCTTATGCTCATTTCTTTTTCTTCAGTGCCCAACTCTACCTGGCACAAAGGAGGTGCCGCCTACCTTTTGTTGAATGAATGAATGAATGAATGAATGAATGATCGGGCATGCCTTTTCACCTTTTGTATCTTGTGAGCCCGCCCGGCCTGGCCGGGTGTTTCCAGTGCCCGGCACAGTTTGTTGCCTTCCGCGCCGTCGCTCAGGCACCACCCTCACAGCCCCTACCCCCTCCCTGGGGCCGCTCGACCCAAAGCCCCTCCCGAAACGGCTCCGCCCACAGCCGGGGTTGGAGGGCGCAAGCAACGCCCACCCCCCAGGCCGCCTGGGATTGGTGCGGCCGCCGCCAGGAGGCGGGCACGGGGCCGGGCCGCTGCTGACGTTCGCGCGGCCAGAAAAGCCCCGCCAGGTGGCTGGCCAGGGGAGACGGCGCGGCCAGGAGGTGGTGAGTGCCCGACGGGCGGGACGGGCGGGACGGGCGGGACGCGCGCGGCGGGCGGAGCTGAGGACGCCGACGACCGTGGCGCGCACTGGGCGCTGCCCACGTCCGCCTCCCTACAGGCTGCGCTGGGCCAAGCGCGGTGCCGAAGCACGGAGCCCCGAGCCCGCCCCGCCCGAGGGACCCCGTCCGGGGGCCGAGGAGGTTGTCAATCCCGGCTTGTCTTCTAGACCCGGACCACCTGGACGACGACGAACCGCCCAACATGGCATCGGAGGTGAGTGGGACCTCGGGGACGCAGGCCCTCCGAGTGTCCAAACGAGGGGGAGGGGCACTCTGGGAGCCAGCCAGGGCCGTGACCTGCGCACGGGATCTCCCCGTGCCAGACCTGCCGCCGGCCACCCTCCTGGTAATCGTCTTCGCTGGCTCCAGGCGATGGGTACCTCCTGGTGCACCTGCCAGGGCCTGGGAGAGACCTGTGCCAGGCCTTCCCGGTGGCCGCATCACCGTCTGCTCTCTCCCCTTTCCCGCTCCCTGGGAGCCTGTGTGGCACTTACCAGCCCACAAGGCTAGGGAAGGTGGCCCTGACCTGACCTGATAGTGCTCCCAGCAAGGGGGCAGGAAAGGAGCTGCCCACTCATTCAGCTCCCTCGCCTCTTCATTCCTTCTTCCCCGATGCCCTTCCTGTTAGTCCCCACCCTGCGCCCCTTCTCCTGCTGTAGCCCTTGTCCTTGTGTAGAAGAGGCCACATGACTCTGGCTTGTGGAAAGAACCAGGACGTAGGGGACCATGCCCTGGGGCCCTAGTGGCCCCAGTGTCTGGTGGCTTCCTGTCTCACTGGCCTCTCTTCCTTAGAGCCAGAGGGCTCCTGGGTTCTCTTCCTGACTACTGAGTAGGCACAAGTGTCTTTTCTGGGGCCTCAGTTGAATTATCTGGCAAATGGGGCTAATAATAGATCTCTGCCTCCTTCTGTAAGGTACTGGATCATGAGGTCATTGCTTTGAAGCTTTCAGGTAAAAGGGGCTGTTTGCTTGATGCCAGTGAAGGGAACCTGTGGCCTGGGAAGCAGGAGATCTGGGTTCCAGTCCTTTTTGGTCCTCATTAGCTAGCAAGGCACTTCCTCTCTCTGGACCTGTTTGTTCATCTGAATAAACTGGGTAAGAATGCCTGCCCTGCTAGTTTCTGGATCATGGTGTAGTGGGGGACGACAGGGCTTGGACTTTGGAGGCAAACAGAGTTGGTTTCTGAAGCAGTCTCTCGACCTCCCAGGGTAACAGTGCCCAACTCACAGGAGGGTGTAAAAGCATATGTAGAATGCCTAGCACAGGGCCGAGCTGTCCTACTATGTAGTAAGTGCTCAATAAATGGTGGCTAGGCCTGGGTGGCGTAGTCGTTAGGTGTCTGCCTTCCGCTCAGGTCATGATCCCAGGGTCCTGGGATCTAGCCCCGCATCAGGCTCCGTGCTCCATCAATCTTTCAAAAAATAAAAATGGTGGCTAAGGATACCAAAGGTAACAACAACGTTATTTCCCTTGTACTTTCTAAATTGGCTGTTGCTCATTCATCCCAGCCCAAACCAGTGCTCCTTGCCCCAAAGGTATCATTCTGGCCCAGATGTGCCCTAGGTTAGAGGGGTGCCCTTTCTGCCACATTGGGCTTCCCCCTCTCTTCAGAGCCCAAATGGTACCGCCTCATTCTGACATCCTTCTGGGATCTTTTTTAAAAAAAGATTTTATTTATTTATTTATTTGAGAGAGAGATTGAGAGCTTGTGGCTGGGGGGGTGGCGGCGGGACAAGGGGCAGGGAGAGGGAGAGAGAATCTCAAGCAGACTCCCCACGGAGAGGGGAGCCCAGCAGAGCAGCTCTATCTCAGGACTTTGAACTGAGCGGAAACCAAGAGCCGGACACTCAATGGACTGAGCCACCCAGGCCCCCTCTTTCTCGGGTCTTTTTTAAGCCTGCCAGTGGGGTGGGAGCTTGGCCCCAATGCAGAGTGGGCTGCCTTCAGGAGACCAGAGCATCAGGTGCCTTCTGCTTGCCCCAGGCCGTCCTGTGGGTTGGTGCTAATTGGTTTGGCTGAAGCTCCGCTTGTTAAGTAGTTGTTATTACTAACAACCTGGGCAGGGAGTCCAGGGCCTGCCGGAGGAGGCAGTGCCAGGTTCCTGGCTGAGGGACCGGCTGGCTCCCAATCCTGACTGGCACTGGCCGGCCCTGGGCCTGTGGCCCCAGCAGTCAGGAAAGGGAGCCATGGGGTGCTTTGCCGGAGAGCTAGGCTTGGCGGGTAAGGGGCGGATCTAGCTCAAAAGGTTGAGGGGGGTGGAGGCTGCTTCTGCAGGGCAGAGTCCTCAGACAGCCAAGGCTGCGGGGCGATGGGTCAGTTCACAGCCTGGGGCCTGAGCGCAGGGGAGGCCCCCACAGGGCGCACAGGAACCAGGACCTGCGCTAAGGCACCCCCTGCCTCGGGCAGCCCTCGGCCCCTCCCTTACTAAGAGAATTTACTGAGTGCCAGGCATCGTGCTATGTATGCACTTAGAAATTTTACCTAATTGAATGCTCCTAACAACTCTAGCAGATAGGTACTACTATTGTCCTTAAAGAGGGGTAACCCTGCAGTTTAGAGAGGTTATGTACTATGCCCACAGTCAGGTGGCTAGGAGAGGTCTGGGACATTGCAGGGTGCCAGAGGAGGACATATGTCCCCAGCAGCCATTATAAACTCTCCTCCACAGGAAAGTTGTCAGTGAAGTAAAGTGCCTACCTTCACCCAGGGAACACTCTCCTAATCCTAGGCATTCTGGGAGCTAGGACTGAGCCCCATGTGTTCTGTACCCCTCCCCCATCTGTCACATGCTCTGGCCTCTGTACTCTTTCAAAACAGAGGTGTCTCTGTCCCACCCCTCTGCCCTTGGCTCCTGGGAGGCAGAGGGTCAGCTAGTGACCTTCTAGAAGGCCAATGATAACAGATGCGCCAGAGGCATTCTCCAAAGGAGTGGTAGAGGTTGGGATCTTAGGCCCTGCCCCAAGCTATGGGAGAGAAATGCAGGCCGCTGGAGCCTGATGGGGCCCCTCAGGTGCTTCCTTGCCTGTCCCTGCTGCAAAAGTTCAGGATACCAGAGCCAGCAGAGAGACCCTGGCGGAACATGGGGTTTAGAGTGCGGACTCTGCTTCAGAGAGCTGGGCTGCAGCCCTGGCTCTACCTCCCAGCAAGGGCTCTGTGCCTTGGTTTTCCCCTCTCGGTAGCGGGATAGAATTGGTACCTGCTTCAGAGAGGGTCTGTTGGTGCATGCCAAGCAATTACAATTGTGCCTGGCACACAAGAATGCGACATGTGTGAGCCGGGATTATTATCATTATCGTTGGAATATCAGAGCTGGATTGAAACTCTGGATTCCAGAATGACATCTCCCATTGGTCAGTAGCAGGAAAGGTCCCAGAAGTTCTGCTGTAGTCTCAGGGGTGCCATCATTTCCTTAGAGAAGTGTCACAGCGTGGGAAAGAACCCTAACTTCAGCCACATTCCCACACTGACTCCCTGAGTGACTTCAGGAAAGTTCCCGATCCTCTCTGAGCCTCAGTTTCCTTATCTGTCCAGTGAAATAATCCTGCCTGCTGGTTCCCACTGCCATCAGACTGGATAACTCTCCTGTGGGCCCTTTGTGAGAGGCACTGTTCTCAAGGGTGGGGAGGAGATTAATTGCTCTTGCTCTCCTGGCCAGAGTGGGAAGCTGTGGGGTGGCCGGTTTGTGGGCGCAGTGGACCCCATCATGGAGAAGTTCAACTCATCCATTGCCTACGACCGGCACCTGTGGGAGGTGGATGTGCAGGGCAGCAAGGCCTACAGCCGGGGCCTGGAGAAGGCGGGGCTCCTCACCAAGGCTGAGATGGACCAGATACTCCATGGACTGGACAAGGTATTCTCTACATCCTAAGGCCCACCCTAGAGCCCCTCCCTGTGGTCCCAGGCTCCTACCAAGTCCCTTGGGGGTGGGGACCGCACCCCCCTGTGGAGCACTCACCCTTCTTGTGGCAAACCTGTAGAACTCAGCTCTTATACAGAGACAGTCAGTGTTCAGGGTCGGGGTAGGACCGGGGACCGGTTTGGCTGCAGACGGCTGACCCCTGACCCCTGAGGTTGTCGCCATCTGCTACAGGTGGCTGAGGAGTGGGCTCAGGGCACCTTCAAACTAAACCCCAATGATGAAGATATTCACACAGCCAACGAGCGGCGTCTGAAGGTATGACCCCCCACCTGTCCACCTGGCCTCCCCTCTCCACCTCACCCTTGGCCACTTGGAGCATAAACGCCATCATTCTGTTCCCTTCCTCACTGGCAGAGTGCAGGCCGGACCTCAGAGCAGGTGGCCTCCACAGAGAAGGCAGGGACCAGGAGTAGGGAGGGAAGGTGACAGGGCTGGGAGGAACCAGGCCCTGCCTGAGCTGCCCCAATGGGCTACAAGCAGGCAGACCCTGACCCCATGCTTCCCTCCACCCCCAGGAGCTCATCGGTGAGACTGCTGGGAAGCTGCACACGGGCCGAAGTCGGAATGACCAGGTGCCGCCACCTCCTACGGCCCCTGCCCCACTGCACCCCCGGGCCCTGTGCATTCCCGATCTTGGGGAGCCCAGGTGGCAGATTTAGGGCTCGGCGGTGGTCCTGGCTCCCCAGCGAAGCAACACATCTCTCTCCCTGAGTGCCACATTCTCCTCCCCACAGGTGGTCACAGACCTCAGGCTGTGGATGCGACAGAACTGCTCTAAACTTTCCGCCCTACTCCGGGAGCTCATCAGAACTATGGTGGACCGGGCAGAGGCGTGAGTCTCCCATGGACCCCCAGGTGGCAGAGGGGGGCATGAGGGCAGCCAGGGTCTGCTGTCCCCTAAAACAGGCAGCGTGAGTGCCAGATCTAGGTGGCAAGGGTGAAGGAGGTCGGGGAGCCAGGCCCTGGGGTTCAGGGGCGTCCTGGAACTCCTGGACCAAGTGAGGCAAAGCAGCCAGGCATGGGGGCACTTCCTGCCATGTTTCCTACTGCCAGGCCCGCCGAGCTCAGCAGGCAGGGCGAGCTCACCCTCTGAGGCTTCATAAGTACAAGGCTGAGGCACTAGGCAGATGCCCCGAAGCCTGAGGAAAGGGGCCGCCTGTGCTGGGGGCAGCCCGGGTCACCCTTGGCCTGCCTGTGCCCCCTGACCACCATCCCACCCCCCGGTCCCCACCCAGCACGGACACAGGACAGCCAAAGCTGCCTCCCGCTGGCCTTATCCCAAGTTTTGGCTCCTGTGACCTCACGTCTTTGGGGTTGGCTTTGCTCTTTGCAGACCTGGCTGATTTGCTGCCAAGAAGTCCCGATCTGGTGTCACAGACAGGGTTGACCCTTCCTCTTCCCCAGCTCCCTGTGACCTCTTTTTCACTGACCTTACCACCTGGGGGAAAACAAGGTCCTAAGAACTGTCAGTCACCCTGGGGGTGCTGGGGAGAAACAGGGAGTGACTGCTAATGAGTAAAAGGTGTCTTCTCTGGGGGGATGAAAATGTTCTAAAACTGATGGATATACACTAACATGTACAGTCTAGGGCGCCTGGGTGGCTCAGTTGGTTAAGCGACTGCCTTCGGCTCAGGTCATGATCCTGGAGTCCTGGGATCGAGTCCTGCATTGGGCTCCCTGCTCGGCAGCGAGTCTGCTTCTCCCTCTGACCCTCCCGAACCTCATCCCTCTAATGCTCTCTGTCTCTCATTCTCTCCCTCGCAAATAAATAAAATCTTAAAAAAAAAAAAATTTTTTTTTTAAAGTGTACAGTCTAAATGGGTGAACGCTAGGTGAATTGTATCTCAGTAAAGCTGTTTATTTAAAAAAAAAAAAAAAAAAACCAAACCCAAACCATCCCCTACAGCACCTCTGCCTCTGCCTTGCCTACTTTAAAGAGCCCCCTGCTCTTCCGAGGTCCTTGGGAGCTTCTCAAGTGCTCACAAATGCGACTCCCCCTGCCAGGTAGTACCCACTCTGTGTGCCCTCCTTTGCTCTCCCCTCTGCTCAGAGCTGAGGACTTAATCCCGTTTGGTCCCAGCCCCAGCTCCACGGCACTGGCCCAGTCCTTGGGTCACACTGCCCCACTTCTGGGCTCCTCCTTTATGATGTGTTTGTCCCCAGGAGATCACTTGGTTTCTTGTGCAGGCAGATCCTTGGAAGGCTGGCCCTGCCTTTCCCTGCTGGGGCTCAGGCCTGCAGGATACGGGGTGACACAGGCAGCCCTTGCCTGAACCTGCTGAGCCCCTCGGGCCCCTGCCCCTATTCTCTCCCCCGCCCCCCACCCCGCAGGGAACGTGACGTCCTCTTCCCAGGGTATACGCACCTGCAGAGGGCTCAGCCCATCCGCTGGAGCCACTGGATCCTGAGGTGAGTGGGGTGGGACATAGGGCAGGGGTACTGTGGAGGGGCTGTGACGGAAGGGAGGGCCCCAGGATGCCCTGACCTCCTGCCCCCCGGCTTCCTGCAGCCATGCCGTGGCGCTGACCAGAGACGCTGAGAGGCTGTTGGAGGTCCAGAAGCGGGTCAACGTCCTGCCCCTGGGGAGGTGAGTAAGGCCCCAGTGTTCTGAGGGCCTAGTTGGGGGTGGGGGTTGTACCACATTGCTAGCATGGTCCTCGGGGATCAGCAGAGAGGAGGCGCTAGCAAGGACAGAGGAGGACAGCCAGCCAGGTAACTGGCCTCTCCGAAAGGGAGGGAGCCCTGCTTGGACCCACGGCTCTCTCTAAGATGGGGGTCACCAGAGCAGGGCCAGAGCTCTCCAGGGAGGTCCCAGTCCGCCAGCCAGTTGCCCTCAGCCTGCCGTTGCCACTCCATGGGGACAAGTGTTCCGTCAGCCACGCTGCCTGGGCGGCCGCCCTGACAATCAGCACTTGGTGCTGGTGTGCACGTGTGTCTGTACCAGGAGCCCTGCTCACCTGGGCCCCCCTCTTCCTGCAGTGGGGCCATCGCAGGCAACCCTCTGGGTGTGGACCGGGAGCTGCTCCGAGCAGGTGAGGTGCCCTGCCCCTCCCCCGTGGAGGTCCCCCTCAGTGCCTGCCAGGCCCCACAGACACACACTCGGAGGGGGCAGGGGTCTGGTTGATACCCTCATTTATTACCTATGGACACTGAGGCTAGAGGGGCAAGAGAAGGCTGGTGGCAGGGGTACATGGCTGTGGGGACACTCAGAGCTCCTGCTTCTTTCCTGGGACCTGTACAAGAGACCCTGCCCCACTCCTGCCCCTCCCTACTTTCCTCCCTGGCAACCTGATTTGGGGTAGAGGAAGCCCCTCCTGGCCCTCCGGCTGAGCCCTATTGCCTTCCCTGTCTCCCCCTCCTCCAGAACTGAACTTTGGGGCCATCACCCTCAACAGCATGGATGCCACCAGTGAGCGAGACTTTGTGGGTGAGTCCTAGGAGCCAGCGCGCTTGTCCTCTATAGGGCTATTACCCTGCACCCTGCTCTAATTTGCCCTCTAGCCCTGGCTCCTCTCCAGCCCCCTCCCACCCCAAGTCTGGTCCACCTGAGGCTTCTCCAGACTGAGTGGGGAGCAAGAGAGGCCTGGTGACCAGAAGGCCTGCTCTCCCTTTCCTCCCATAAGCTGAGTTCCTGTTTTGGGCTTCGCTGTGCATGACCCACCTCAGCAGGATGGCTGAGGATCTCATCCTCTATGGCACCAAGGAATTCAGCTTTGTGCAGCTCTCAGATGCCTACAGGTAAGGCTGGGCCCTGCCGTACCCCAGCTCTGCACCCACCAGCATGGCTTCCTTCCTCCCCATTCCCTCCCTCCCTGTCCCCGGGCACACCTGGACTGCATGCTGCTAGACCTCACCTGATCCAGCCAGCAGACCAGCCAAGGGGCAGGGGAGCCCTTTCAGCCCCAGCATCTCTGTTCCCAGCACCGGAAGCAGCCTGATGCCCCAGAAGAAAAACCCAGACAGCCTGGAGCTAATCCGGAGCAAGGCAGGCCGAGTGTTTGGGCGGGTGAGCAGGGCAGGGAGTGGGGGCAAGGCTTTTGGGCTGACCTGGAGGGTCCTGAGGGAACTTCCAGGATGGGCTCTGAGGTCCAGCCTCCTCAGTCTCACTCTTTTCTCAGTGTGCTGGGCTCCTGATGACACTCAAGGGACTTCCAAGCACCTACAACAAGGACTTACAGGTGCGAGGCTGGGGCTGTGGGTGAGGGACCCACCTGCACATACACTGCATCTGATTTCTCAGGGCCCTGGCACATCCAAGCAGGGGCCCCACAGAATTGCCACCTCCCATCCTATGCACCCAGCCCTTGACTGCCCTTGAGAACTCTCCTTTCTGTTGGTGTGGCTTGTACGAGGTGCTGAGTGTTCCCAGTGGAGGGCAGTGGGGATGCCTCAGTGGGGGACACGGCTGCTGGGCTCTCACTTCCTGCTGCGTGCCTCGCAGGAGGACAAGGAAGCCGTATTTGAAGTGTCAGACACCATGAGTGCCGTCCTCCAAGTGGCCAGAGGTGTCATCTCTACACTACAGGCAAGCCCCCCGTCCTGTCCCCCAGGCCCCTCTACTCTTGGGATGGGCATGCCAGGAGGTGATCTTGAGAGGAGGCGAGGGTGGGTGCATCCAGAAGATCTGGGGCAGGGGGAGGTGGGTACGTGTTTGCTCCCGCCCCTGGGACCAGCGAAGAGACGAAAGGTGCGAGCTACAGGAGAATGGAAGTGGGTTAGAATCTAGGGGTCCCATCAACTGTCCTGACCAGATTTCTTTTTTAGCCATCTATGATGGGAAATTTCGGTATGCGCAGTTGAGAGAATGCTCAATGAACCCCGGTGGACTAACGGCCAGCTTTAACAATAATCAGCTCCTGGAGTTTCTTGCTTTGGCTATCTTTACTCAGTGCCCGCCACCACCCGGTGCTTCTGATGCACGCCAAGGCTGGGGACCCTGAGAAAAAGTGCTGGCAACCCCAGGAGCTCCCCTAAACATCATCAGTGATGATGGCAAATGGCTCAAGCAGAGAGAGCAGAACAGGCTGGGTCAGAGTGGATCTGCCCAAGGCCAGGGACATCCTGGCTAACGGCGGGTACACCTTGGGCCTGAGACTGGCAGCTTCACCACCCAGGGTCCCCAGGACTCACCACTCCCCCCACCGGTGTCCCCCAGATCCACCGTGACAACATGGCACGGGGTCTCAGTCCTGACATGCTGGCCACTGACCTCGCCTACTACCTGGTCCGCAAAGGGGTAAGTGTGGGGTGGCTGGGGGGGAGGCGGGAGGAGATGGGGATGTCCCCCAGGCCGAGGGTTGGGGGGGCGTGAGGGCCTGGGCTGAACAGGGGTCAGAGGAAGACTGAGTCGGTGCCGCCCGTGCCTGGCTGCCCCAGATGCCGTTCCGCCAGGCCCATGAGGCCTCCGGGAAAGCTGTGTTCATGGCCGAGACCAAGGGGGTCCCCCTCAACCAGCTGTCGCTGAAGGAGCTACAGACCATCAGGTGCGGCCCCCTCCCCTCCCTCTGCTGCCTCCCAGGAGGTGAGCCTGGGCCCCTGAGGCCCCTGGGGGGCCCCGCTGGGCCCTGGCCCACCTCCTCCTCTCTCCCCCAGCCCCCTGTTCTCGGGGGACGTGAGCCACGTGTGGGACTACGGCCACAGCGTGGAGCAGTACGCCGCCCTGGGTGGCACGGCGAGCTCCAGTGTCGACTGGCAGATCGGCCAGGTGCGGGCCCTGCTGCGGGCCCAGCAGGCCTAGAGCCCTCTCCACCCCGTGCCTAAAGAAAGCAGGCCCAAGAGGAGGCCGCTGCTTGTTTCCTGCCCAGCCTGACTCCCTCAGCGGTGGGCTTTCAGGGGCCTGTTGAGTGAGCAGTTGGGGCCATCAAGGAAGCGGAGAAAATGGACAAGGGTGGCAGGAGTCATGGATGGGGAAGGAGAGGGGCTTGCCTTCATTAGAGCCTCCGCCCTGCTCAGGCCCCGCACCCTTCACTGTAGGAGGCACAGTAACCGGCCCAGAGCATCCTGGGAGGACTGGCCTCCTCGGAGCCTTGATGGCCCCTGATGGGCTTGGTTAACTCAGTCAGTCCCTGTTCATTATCCTTCCTTCCAGCATCCTCTAGGCTCGCCTGCTCACATTCTCCCCTTGCTTAACTCACCCTTCCCTGAACAATCAGGCACCGTGACAGGGTGTCCTGGGCCCTCGTGCGGGGAATGGCATATTTGGTGGTAAAATCAGTCATCCAGCTAGCGTGGGATGCCAGGCATCTAGGTGAACTTCATACATGCAAACATGTCTCCTTCACCCTAGAGAGTAATGTACTGCCATGTGGTCCCAGCACGGACCATGAGGTGAGGGCCAGACAGGAGTGCCTGGGGGGACCTGCCCCCTGTTGCAGTCAAGGACTTACATTTAGTCTGCAAAGGGCCTGGGGTCAGGCCTGGCACACAGTAAATGTTCAATAGCAGTGAGTCCCCAGAACCAGCGGAGGCCTCTTCTACATGGAAGTCACCAAAATCCTGATAAGAAATGTCTGAAATTGGGTGCCTGGGTGGCTCAGTTGGTTAAGCGACTGCCTTCGGCTCAGGTCATGATCCTGGAGTCCCAGGATCGAGTCCCAGGATCGAGTCCCGCATCGGGCTCCCTGCTCAGCAGGGAGTCTGCTTCTCCCTCTGGCCTTCCTCCCTCTCATGCTCTCTGTCTCTCATTCTCTCTCTCTCAAATAAATAAAATCTTTAAAAAAAAAAAAAAAAGAAATGTCTGAAATTTATGTTTTATTAACAACAAAGTTAAACTCAAGGAAGAATGAATGACCCCTCCCAAGTGTTTCTTGGGAGCAATGGAAACACTTTGTAGGGGCGCCTGGGTGGCTCAGTTGGTTAAGCGACTGCCTTCGGCTCAGATCATGATCCTGGAGTCCCGGGATCGAGTCCCACATTGGGCTCCCTGCTCTGCGGGGAGTCTGCTTCTCCCTCTGACCCTCCCCCCTCTCATGTGCTCTCTCTCATTCTCTCTCTCTCAAATAAACAAATAAAATCTTTAAAAAAAAAAAAAAGAAACACTTTATAAACTAAACAGCCCAAACTCCAGCAGTGGGCACACCACACCACATTCCAAAAAGGGCCAAAGCCATGGCTCACAGAATGTTCTAGAGTATTGGCTCTCAAAGTGTGGTTCCTCCTTCCCCTCGTCCTCCTCATCTGGGAATTTGTTTAAAAATGCAAACTTTCAGGCCTGAGACCTACTAAATCAGATTCCAGGTGGGGTCCCAGCTACCTGTTTTTGCAAGGCCTTCAGGTGATTCTGATGCACGTTCAAGTTTGAGGATCACTGGTCTCTAGAATCTTGTTACCTAAAGTCGCTGCAGACCACCGCCTCTCCTGGGCCCCAGCGTGACCTGATCCAGAATCTGCGTTTTAACAAACTCCCCAGATGTTGGTTGTACACATTAGAGTCAAAGTGCTGATTGAGAGAAGGTATGGAGTCTGGTCTCAGAAATGAAGGAGGGATTTATGTCCGTCGAACAGCAGACAGGATTAAAATAATGATTGCAATACATACTGTAATACATTTGACACACGGAGCAGGTCCTGCCCTACACCTCCATCAGTAGGGTGCACCACAGTCTAAGTGGGAACTCTGTTTTCAGACAATCCTATTAAAAGTTTCTCCTTAATTGGAATCAGCCCCCAGTGCTTCCCACCTGTGAGCCTGGCCATATGCCCTCCAACCTGACCAGAGGAAGGAGCCCCTCCTGGCTCAAAGAGAGCAAGAGTTTGTGTAGCTTTTCTCTGGACTGTCCATTCATGGTTGTGTTACTGCCCTTGCCTTCCTCTTTCTATTCTGCCACCAACTGACTACTTACACCAAAGTTCAGTATGACCTTGTATTGGTTTCCCATAAAACAACATAAAGATCATCTTAAAATTCTTGAGGTCAGAGTCTGAAATGGGTTTTACTGAGACAAAATCAAGTGTCAACAAGCATCTGGGAGAATCTGTTTCTTTGCCTTGTCCGGTTTCTAGAAGCCATCTGTATTCCTTGGCTTGTGGCCCTTTCCTTCATCTTTGAGGTCAGCAGTACAACGTCTTCAAATCTGTCTCTAACGCTGACCCTCTGCTTCCTTTGTCACATCCTCTGACTGACCTTTCTGCCTCCCTCTTATAAAGACCCATGTGATTACACTGGATCCACCTGGATAAATCAAGATAATCGCTTCATCTCAAGATCCTTAACTTAATCACATCTGCAAAGTTCCTTTTACCATGTTAGGTAACATATTCACAAGTTTGGGGGATTATGATATTGGGGAATCATTGTTCAGTCTACTATGTTCTGTTGTCTGGCTCTCAAAGACTAATGTCCATCCCACGTGCCAAACCTTCACTCCATCCCATTTCCCCCCAAAGTTTTAACCCCTTAAACATCAACGCAAGTTCTAAATCTCATCAGCTCAGAAGTCCCATATCTCATTATCTAAATCATCTAAATTAGGTATGAGTGAGACTCTGGGTATGATCCATCCTGGGGCAAAATTCCTCTCTATCCATGAATCTGAGAATCTCATGTGATTGTGGTGTGGATTAGGGTTCATGCATACAAACTCAAGAAACAAATGATCTAAACCCAGAATACAGGGCTTGTTAGGCACTGGATAACACTTAGAGGCACTTCAATTAATTTTTTAAAAGATTTTATTTTAGAGCACAAGTGGGGTGGAGGGGGGATGAGGAGCAGAGGGAGAGGGACAGGCAGACTGCACTGAGCACAGAGTCCTATGCAGGGCTCGATCCCAGGATCCCGAGATCATGACCTGAGCCGAAATCAAGAGTTGGACATTTAACCAACTGAGCCACCCAGGTGCCCCAAGGCATTTGTTTTAAAAGGAAGAAAATGGAAGGCAAAAAGGAATCACTGATTCCAAGCAATTTTGAAATCCAACCCAGACAATTCCACTAGGTTTCAAGGCCTGGGAACACAGGTTTTCCCTGGTCTCTGAAAATACAGTGTTCCTGTGAAACTCTTCATAAGCCAAAATGGTATAAAGAAGCACTTCCCATTAATTTAATATGGAAAAGTTTTTGAGCATTCCCAGAACCCCTCCTAGGCTTTTCTGATACCTTAGGACATATATTGCTAACAGATGCCCAAAATAAATCAAGATAAAGCACAGAGGTTCACAGACACAGTTCCAAGCTATGGTGGCTTGATGCCGAGGCTGAGCGCAGTTCCTCGGGAAGGCGCTAGGTGGCGACGCTCTTGCCGCTTGGGGCGCACCCTGCCTCTAAAAAGGCTCACGGCAAAACATACAGTATGCCAATTTTGCTTTTTTGCCTTTTTAAAAGCAAAAATCTTTGGGTTTCTTTTGGTTAGTGAAAACGGTACTAATGTAGATCTTTCATAAAAGGCAAGTGGCGTAAGGCAAACTTTTGAAAATTAGGGGATACCCACAATCCTCCCTGCCCTTGAGCTCTGCCCTCTGGACATGCTCCACGCCCCACGCCCCGCGGAGCCATCATTCCTTTTTCCTGAAGGGTAGCACATCTTTACAGTTGAGTAACATGTAAGTGGCCTGTTTCCTGCTTGTGGGATTTTGAGGAAACTCGGGAAGCCTTCTTTAATTTCCTCTTCTCCTTTTCATCCTTGCTGGGGGTGTTTTTGCTGATATAATATCCTTAAGAACCATGCGGGTCTCCTGTGAATGTCACAGGGGTTCACTTCATGAGACAAGAGATTCCTCTACAGATCTTTCCGAAATAATGCCATTTTTATTCCTGGCTTCTGCTGAGAAAGCCGAGGGGATCCGAGAGTCCTGTGCCAGATCTCTTCAAAGAGCACTCTTAACAACAAAGTACTCTGATCTTTTGATCTCTTCCAGGCACTAGCAAAAGGTTGTCCAACCACAACCTAGGCTCTCTCTCTATAGTTGGGTTTTTTTTTTTTTTTTTTTAAGATTTTATTTATTTATTTGACGGAGAGACAGAGACAGCAAGAGAGGGAACACAAGCAGGGGGAGTGGGAGAGAGAGAAGCAGGCTTCCAGCTGAGTAGGAAGCCGGATTCAGGGCTCGGTCCCAGAACCCTGGGATCATGACCTGAGCCGAAGGCAGATGCTCAACGACTGAGCCACCCAGGCGCCCCTAGGCTCGCATGCTTTCCTGATAGTGAAATCCCTAATCTTAGCACCTGTTGATATCTAGATTTTCCCAAATTACCAAGTCCTGGTTTCTTTTTGCTTAACAGTCTTACCTCAATTTGTCTCTCTTGTTCTATACTCTTAGCTTCAAGGGATGATGAGAAAGCAAGTTTCTGGCAAAAGGAATGAGGTTGTCTTATTGGCTTTTGTACTAAACTTTAATCATCCCTTGGGGTTTGGGGCAGGCCCTGCTTCACCGAGCCTGTTGTCTTCTGAAAGAAATCAAGGTCTATAGGAAGAAGTGGGGGGGGGGGGGGGGGACGGGGAAGGCTGTGAGTTTAGCAGCAGTCCAGAATATATGATTACTGTCCTATTGAATAACCAAAATTGCATTCACATCTACCGCAAAGCTAGTAGACTCAACGTCAACAAAACTCCAGAGGTATGTATATATATATATATTTTTTTTTTAAAGATTTTATTTATTTATTTGAAAGAGAGATAGCGAGAGAGAGGAAGAGAGAGCATGAGCGGGGTGGAGGGGTACAGGGAGAGAGAGAAGCAGGCTCCCTGCTTGATGTGGAGCTCGATCCCAAGACCCTGGGATCATGACCTGAGCCAAAGGCAGACGTTTAACGACTGAGCCACCCAGGCGCCCCCAAGACACACCCTTTTTAAAAGAATATTTATTTATTTTAGAGAGAAAGAAAGAGCACACATGTGCATGCTGGTGGGGAGGGGCAGAGGGAGAGTATTTTCAAGCAGACTCCACACTGAGCATGGAGCCCCATGTGGGGCTCCATCTCATGACCTGTGCAATCATGACCTGAGCTGAAACCAAGAATTAGACCTTTAACTGACTGAGCCACCCAGGCGCCCTAAGGGTTCAGTTTAGTGGCTTTTAGTGTGTTCATAGAATTGTATGACCATCACCACCACCAATTTTAGAACATTTCATCACCCCAAAAAGAAGCCCACAAGAAAATTTTGTGCCTCAAAGAAAGTAAAAGGCACTCATAGAATGGGAGAAAATATTTGTAAATCATATACCTGATATGGGTTTAGTATCCAGAATATAAAATGAACTTTTACAATTCAACAATGAATTGTTTATTGTTTTAAATTTTATTTAATTGAATTGAAAATGGACAAAATAGGGGCGCCTGGATGGCTCAGTCATTGGGCGTCTGCCTTCGGCTCAAGTCATGATCCCAGAGTCCTGGGATCGAGTTCCACATTGGGCTCCCTGCTTGGCGGGAAGCCTGCTTCTCCCTCTTCCACTCTCCCTGCTTGTGTTCCTGCTCTCACCACCTCTCTCTCTGTGTCAAATGAATAAATCAAATCTTAAAAAAAAAAAAAAGAAAGAAAATGGACAAAGTATCTAGATAGATATCTCTCCAAAGAACATGTAAAAATGGCCAATAGGCACACTAAACGATGTTCAACATTATAAATCATTAGGGAAATGCAAATCAAAATCAAAATGAAATATCACTTCATACCCACTAGGATGTGACTTAATTTTTGTATATAGTGTAATGAAAAGGTCCAACTTCATTCTTTCCCATATGGAAATCCATTTGTCTCAGTATCATTTGTTGAAAAGACTCTTC